GCAAAGCTCTAGGAAAAGGTGCAATGACCCACAGGCCTACTGGCCTTTATGGGAGACAACTCTTCAAAATTCTTTTAATCCTTTAGAGGCGGGATTAAAAGGTAAAATGACTTCTGCCCCCATCCCCTATAGGAAGGAGGCCACTAAGGCTCTGATGGAGGAGAGGGGGAGAGTAAGGTGGGGTTAGCTGAGAGTGGGCAAAGGCTAAAAAGTGGGACTAGAGTCAGCAGTTGGCACTCAGTCACTTTTCCCGCCCAACATGGCGGACCATCGTTTCTGTAGAGATACTCTTTTAGGTTCCTGCCTGGGGAACAACTGGCAGTGAAGGGCTCAGGGCTTTGGTCTGGGGGAGCAGCTGGGGACGCAGGCCTCTGGAAGCTAGGGCCTCTGTCTTGTGTGAAGACTGGGAACCAAGGCCTTGAAGGGAGGAGGCTGTGGCTGCCTCAGCTGGATTTGACACAGTAGGCAGTATGGCTAGGAATCGTCACCCAGGGGTTCGCAGTTCTAAAGATGGAGATAAGGCCTCAGGACTAGCCATGGTCTCTACCTGAGTGTGTGGGGGGGGCGGGGGGGGGGGTAGGGGGGAGACCTGGTGGGGGGAGGGGGGAAGGGAAGAAGGCCTCAAAGAGGAAGTTGGGGGGAGGGTGGTAGAAGAGGCTAGTCTGGCGCCATGCTGAGTCACCACCCACAAGGGCCAGGGCGGGCCCTCTGGAGGGCCACTGGCAGGGCAAAGGGGTCCTTGGGAAGCCATGAGAAGGGGGGCTAGGGGGCTTTCTTGAAGCAGAAGTCAGCAGGAAGAGCAGGTGGCCTGAAGAATACATGTGGATTGACAGAGAGACAGACAGTGCAGTCACCCATAAAGTAGAAAGCACTACTAACAGCACTGGAGGGTGTAGTGTTTCCTACTTTATGGATGAGTGTACTGTGGGCTTCGGAGACCACGCCATGCTGCGGCCACCTGCCATCATCTTCCCCCACCTCAGGACTACAGGAGACAGGTGAGCACCTCACTCAGCTCCCTACTCTGCCAGGCCCCTGAAAGGCCTTCACTGATCCCCACAAAGCTGCACTTCCTGACTCCAGGCAACTGGGGAAACACCATGGCAGCTTTCAAGTCCCAGAGGATATTGAGTGGACTGGATATGTGGGTCCCAGTGCTATACCTGCAGCAGACTGGGGAGTCCAGAAGGGAGGGCAGATGGAAGGAAATGAGTGGAGGTCATAGGGGCCCCAACACTAATAAAGAATAGACTCTTTTTCTCTTTTGTCTGAGCCTCTGTTGTTGGGGTATTTGAGGTGGGTTGTTGTGTGGGTCCACGGATGACCGGGAGCATGATCACTCTCATCCAAGAGAGGAAGGGTTGGCTGGGCTAACAAGAAGAATTTGGCCTGACTAAGGCACAGCCTGGAGATAAAAGGGCTTGGGCCACTGGGAGCAGATCTCCTGGCAGTGTGTAAAGAAAAGGGTAGGGGTATGAGGGACCCTCCTGCTTTTGACCCTAATTCCTGCTCCATTCTCCACTTGCTCTTCACTTCCAAACTGAAGATTGTGTGCCTCTGGTTTGGGTCTAAGAAAGTCTAGGGGTGCCTTGGTAGCATAATTGGGCAAAACCATTATGGCACACTCTGTACCCACCAGTACCTTTATACATAGACAGGGCCCAGATGTTAATAGGCAAAGCTCACACGTATCATCATGCACATGCATTACATCTAAGCCCTGCACACAGATGCCAGCAACATGCACATTCAGTGGGGTATAGACGATGAGACATGACTGGCATATCACACAATGTGTGTGCCAGTCACCCAAGGCACACGTGTTTAATAGTACTTATACATGCATTGGTATAAATAAGTGACATGTCACAACAAGAATATACACATATAGTGACATTCATATAAACATAGTGACTCTGTGAACACATGGTAACACCTTTATAGGTAATGATACATATAAAATAATCACATGGTGGTTAATATATTTATAAATATATACTTATATACACACATACAGTCAGGCCTTCCTTTGTCATCCATGGATCAATCAATCTTGTATCAGAAAAACATTTTTCATTTTTATCGTTTTAGTGTGTGTGTGTGTGTGTGTGTGTGTGTGCATGCGCGCGCTCGTATGCTTGTGTCATGGCATGCATGTGGAGGTCAAGCGAGGAGCTGGAGGAATCAGCTTTCCTCTTCCACCATGTGGGTCCCAGGGATTGAATTTAGGTGTCAGACTTGGTAGAAAGTACCTTTATCCATTAAGCCATCCCACCAGCTAGATTGAATTTTTTTTTTTTAATTACAAGTCAGAGAGATGGCTCAGCGGTTAAGAGCACTGACTGCTCTTGCAGAGGGCCCAGGTTTGATTCCCAGCACCCACATGGTGGCTACGAACCGTCCTTGACCTCTTCTGACCTCCTTGGCACTGCACGACATGGGTGCACTCACATACATGCAGGCAATACACTCATACACATAAAATAAAAATTAAAAAAAAAAATCCAGGCAAGCCAATTAGTTTTTGCTAAACATCCAATAACTTGGGGGACAGAGGAAGGGGAATAACCCCCCACAGCATTGCACAACACGGGTGCATTCACACACATGCAGGCAATACACTCATACACATAAAATAAAAATTAAAAAAAAAAATACAAGTCAGGCATATAGTATATGCCTATAATCCCAGAACCTGGGAGGCAGAGGCAGGAGGATCAGCCTATCTTAAGATAGTTCAAGGCTAGTCTGGGCTGCATAAGACCCTGTCTAAAAAAACTGTGGGTTAGAGAGATGGCTCAGCAGTTAAGAGCACTGGATGTTCTTGCAGAAGACCTGGGTTTGAATCCCAGAACCTACATGATGGCTAACAACCATCTATAACTCCAATTCCAGGGGGATGTGACACCATCTTCTGATCTCTATAGGCATTACATGACATGGGTGCACTCACATACATGCAGGCAATACACTCATACACATAAAATAAAAATAATAAAATATTTTTAAAAATTGTGTCTCTGCTTACAATGTACAGACTTTTCTTGTCTTTATTTCCACTATTCCTCAGCAATAAAGCATAATTGTTTACTTAGCATTTATGTTGTATTATAAATAGGTACTACAAATAATCTGTAGATGATTTGAAGTGTAAAGGAGGGCTGAGGATGTAGTTAGTGGTAGAGTGCTTGCCTAACATTCAAGAGACCTTGGGTTTGAAGGATACAAGAGGATGTGTGCAGATAGTTTGTCTTTTTTTTTTTTTTTTTTTTTAAGAGAGGGTCTCGCTATGCAGTCCTGATTGGTCTGAACTCATGATGTAGACCAGGCTGTTCTCCAACTCACACACATATCTGCTGCCTTTGCCTCCTGATGCTGGGATTAAAGACATTGTACCACCACAAACAGATTATATCGCCATTTTATATGACGGACTTGAGTGTCTGAACCTGGGGTTGTATGTCCTAGGAGGGTTCTAGAGCCAGTCCCCTTAGGCATGGAGGAATGAATATACATGTATTTAAACATCTCCATATAGGGGCTGGAGAGATGGCTCAGCATTTAAGAACACTGGCTGTTCTTGCAGAAGACCTGGGTTCAAGTCCCAGAACCCACATGGCAGCTAACAATTGTCCGAAACTCCAGTTCCAGGAGATCTGATGGTCTCTTCTGTCCTCTGCGGGCATTGCACAACACGGGTGCACTTACCTACATTCAGGCAATACATGCATACACATAAAATAAAAATAAAAAAATAAAATATTTAAACATCACCGTATCATCATCATTAGCAGATGTACACATCATTATATGCCACTACACATATTTACATGACAAATGTTGTCATTATGTGTTAATGTCATATAATGGTATAAATATACACAATTTATGACACTGTTAAAACCTACAAGTTATGACAATAGCCTTACACATAATTGCATACACATAAAAACTGTGGCAAATAGATACATGCAATGACACATAGAAACATGTATGGATATCTACGCAGTGAGATTCATATACACAAAATAGCACACATATATACAATGGTCCTCCCAATGGTACACACACATAAATAGATCTCACATATGTGTGTGTGTATTATACACATATACTCGTTGAACTGAATTTCCATGACAGATACCATGCAGGCACACCAGTCTACAGTCTTCTCCCCATGCAACCCTCCTGAGTTCCATCAGCTCTGGCCTGGGTTCTCTGTGGTTCCACAGGATGCCATGTGAGGGCCCCGGATTTTGAGGCTGGCTTGCTACTGAGACCAGGTTCCCAGGGGAGATGGGCTGCCTCTCCAAAGCCCCTCCCAACGCTTCTATCTCTGGGGAGTCAGTCTAGGTGCCCCACATACACCCAGGTGGGGCAGTTCTTATGTCCTTGTTTCAAAAAGCCATTTTCTCGTATCACAAAAGCCCAAGGTTAGACAGAAGATGAACTTCCTGAAAATTCAGAGCAAAACCAGTCCAACGGGTCTCCCCTGCTGGCCTGGGACCCTCAGGTTGTCCCCTAAATGTGTCTGCAGTGAAGCGGAAGCAAACTTCTCATCTGATTTCTACCTCTCTCTTTGCTTGTCTCCTGCTTTCATCCTTATTCCTCTTTGTTTCATCTCGAATCCCATCTTTTCCAGTCCTGACCTCCTCTATGGCTAGGTCTCTGTCATACCTTCCCCTGCCACTGCCTCCATTAGTCTCGCCTGATGAAGGGAGAGCCGGGTCCAGTTCCCTTTCCTCTGCACTCTGGAAGATGTGAGGGTGTGTGGGGTCAAGGAGATGAGGAAGCCACATGTGGGGGCCGGGGAGCTGGCATCCTACAAGGAACCTGCTCTTCCCTCTGTCCCGACCCCACCAGCCGGTCCAGCCCACCAGTCCAGCGCCATTGCCATGGAAACCAGCAGCCGACTTCCTATTGGTGGGCGGGAGGGGAGGAGGAGGGGGAAGGGAGGGCTGATTCTCTCCCCTGCCCCCCCCCCTTCTGAAGCTCAGCCCTCTCCTTCGTGACCACCATCTCATATTGGGGGATCCGGGACGGTAAGGGACCCCTGCAGTCCCCTGAGCTGAGGCTAGTAGGGGCAGAGACTATGAGGCAAGCAGCACATCGACCCAGACCTCCTTAGGACCGCCCGGCCACCCAGCAAGCAAGTGAGCGGCGGCGGCAGAGCGAGAGGCTGGAGATAAAGGGCCACAGTGGATCACTGGGGATCACCCACAGCAACTCCTGAGGACCCTAGCCAGGCTGAGGGGTCATGATGGACCTCCAGACTCACAGACACACACCACCACGGATGCGCCAGGCTTCATAACACTGACACACTGAGATTGGACCAGCGACAGCATCACACGCTGCCACGGCCCAGCAATACAGACACCCCCTCCCATCCCCACGCAGAAATAACTGGTAACTCTGAAACTGACACAGACGGTGACACACACAAGTGGGGGCACCCATCCTCAAACACCCAAGACAGCCCAGACCTGCAGGGACGGATCTGGAGAGGACACTGCTGTTGGTGGCCTCTGCACATTTTCCCCACCCCCACAGGGACACCCTCTCCTCTCCACATACGCACACACAGAACCACCAGCAAACATAGCTGCCATACCCCCAGCTCCAGACCTGGCAAACCCGGCACCTTCTGCAGCTCCTTCATGGGTGGGAAGAGCTTAGCCAACCTCCAATGGAGCCTCGGTGAAGCCAAGTGTTCATAGGGGAAAGGGTCTGGCCTGGCATGACCCCCACCAGTCTCCCCACTCAGCTGGGTGATGTTCTCTGGTCTGGATTCTGGGGACCCTTGGTGGAACCATGGAGCAACTGACAACCCTTACACTGCCTGGAGATCCTGGAGCCATGGAACCATGGGCACTGCCTGCCTGGCAGAGCTGGACTCAGGTCCAAGGGTGCAAACCTGAAGATGCAGGTCCAAGCATTGCTGATTCTCTGACAGCTCTGCAGGCTAGAGGACCGAAGTCTGAGGAGAGTTCTGAGCCTGAGGGAGCCCAGAGCCCTGGGCCTGTTGGGAATACTGACCCGGAAGGAGCAGAGGCTGGGCTGCCCAGGCTGAGGCAGCAAGCATTGAGCTCTGGGTGTAGCTGCCCCAGGCTAAAGGATGAAGAGGCACAAACTTTTCAGGTAAGGGAGCTGAGGAGGGCTGTAAGGTGGACCAGGCATGACCTGTGGCCTCCCTGCCCACATCTCTTGTCTGGACCTGTCTCTATCTATGAGTCTTTCTCTGTGACTATCTGTCCTTCCTTCATTGGACAGGAATCTCAATCGTTTCATTCTCCCCCAGCCATCCATGTGCCTCTTCTTTTTGCTTGCCTGTCTACATCTGACCCTGCCCCTCCATGTGTCTCTCTGATTGTCAGCTGTGTCTCCTTTTCTATGAGTCTGTCAGTTTTGTGGGGCTGGAAGATGTGGGGATATGGAGGTAGGCTCAGTGCTGGGCTGACCCAAGGTCTGGGTGGGTGTGAGTGGTAGAAGACAGAGGAAGCAGGACTTTAGGGGGAGGCAGAGGACTCTGAGGACCATAAGGAGTCTAGAGGGATGGGGACTGGGGCTTGTGTTGGCATTGCCTATGAGAAGAAGACGGGCAGAGTGGCAAGGATAGAAAAATAGCAGGCAAAACCTAGACTGAGGGGGAGGGAGGGAGACTGCCACTGAAGGCAGGGAGGGCTGGACAGTCCCTTCTTTTTAGGCCCCTATGCCCCTCGCTGAAAGCCTGGGACATGAGAGAGAACCTTCTCATCTCCTTGGACTACAGAGCAGAGATGCTTCCACATGGAGGCTCTGATTGGGTGGATCTCTGAGGCACTATACCTGGTCCTTTCCCATGCCAGGCCAAATTGAACATGGGCTTCAGGGATAGGCCCAACCTGGAGCTGCTGAGGGCCCTGGGGGAGCTGCAGCAACGCTGTGCCATCCTTAAGGAGGAAAACCAGATGCTGGTGAGGCCTGGAGAGTGGGGTCTCCCTCACCCTGATTACCCTATAAACATCTCTCCAAGAGGGGGCCACATGGGGGTGACATAACCCCAAACCCCAGACCCAGTGGACCCTTGCTTAGCATGGTCAAGAGTCCCACTGTGTGTCCAGGCTCTAGCCTAGGGCCTGGGCAGAAGGACTGGGTCTGTGGGGTGCCTCCTACATGGGTCCAATTCTGGTTGACCCCTTTGTCAGAGAAAAAGCAGCTTTCCTGAGACCGAAGAGAAGGTACGAAGGCTGAAGCGGAAGAACGCAGAGCTGGCAGTCATTGCCAAGCGCCTGGAGGAGAGGGCCCAGAAGCTGCAGGAAACTAACCTGAGGGTGGTGAGGACAGGAGGCTGCTGGGTGGAGGCTTGTGTGACTAGGAGAACCAGGGCTGGGCCACTGGACTGGGTTTGGGAGTCATAGACTCTACCCAGGAAAGCAGGAATCCATGGGCTGGATAGGTGGGACAAATGGGCGTGGAGGAAGTTGAAGGCTTTTGGAGCTACGGAGGGAGAGAGTGGTGGGTAGGGAGGTTCCTGAGCAGACAGGGAGCAGAATTCGGGATTACCACGTGCTGGTGCTGGCTGCAGCCTCCTGGCTGAGCTCATCTGCGGTGTAGAGCTGGAGTGGGGGCAGGGAGAAGACCCATCATAGTGGCAGCCCTGAATTAGCATCCTTTGCGCCTAAACTAAGATGTGCAGTTAACGCTTTCGATCCTGCTTGGGGACTGCTGGGATGGGATTCAGTTAGGATACTGTTCCTCTGAGATCCAAGACTTGGTTTCATCCTTTCTTCCTTTGGAAGTCATGGAGTGGGAGGTGTGCCCCAGCCCTCAGTGACTTTTGGCTTTACCCCTCTGGCTAGGTGAGTGCTCCTGTGCCTGGATCCGGGGCCAGTTTGGAGTTGTGCCGGAAGGCTTTAGCCCGCCAGAGAGCCCGGGACCTCAGTGAGACAGCCAGTGCACTGCTGGCCAAGGACAAACAGATTGCTGCCTTGCAGCGGGAGTGCAGGGAGCTGCAGGCCAGGCTCACCCTGGTGGGCAAGGTGCGAAGGGGCCCTGGTCTGCCCTTCCAGCTCAGTCCTACGTAAGAATGTCTGCTTGGAGTGTGGGATGTGGACCAGATGTTAATGAGATGCAAATGAAACAGAGAGGTGGAGGCTGCTGGGGAGTAGGTTCCCCTGGCAACCGCCCAGGTGGGAGAGGGATGAGGAAGCGTGAACGAAAGGGGGTGGAGCCATGAGTCCCAGACCCGGACATTCCTGTGCTCCAGACTTGAGGCTGTATGCCTGTGGATCTGGCTGTACGAATCTACACATACTTCACACTTGTGTGAAGGAGTGTTCACGAGGCATTTAGCACAGTGCAGGCACACCGCGAGCATCTAGTAAATGAATTTGCTGTGAATGCCTGCGCATGGGCTAGGGGAGGCATGCGGCTTGCATACTCGTGCGTATATGACCTGGCGTATCTGCATGGGAAGATGAGCACTTTTCCCAGCTGCCGAACCTCTCCAGTGCGGTGGAGAGGGGGCTATGTTGGAGATTCCCAGGGGGAGGCAGGGGTTAGGTCTGACTTTACTGGTTGCCCCACCCCAGGAAGGTCCCCAGTGGCTCCACGTGCGGGACTTCGATCGGTTGCTGCGCGAGTCCCAGCGGGAGGTGCTGCGACTGCAGCGGCAGATCGCCCTGCGCAACCAGCGGGAGCCGCCCCGGCAGCCCCGGCCCCCAGGTCCCACTGTCCCCTCCAGACCAGGGGCGCCGGCCCCAGGGGCCCCGGGAGAGGTGAGTGCTGGCGCCAGGGCAGCTGTGTGCGTGTGCGCCGAAGAGGGATTGGGGTGACCCCGTGATCTCCTCCTGCACCGCGCTCAGTGCGCGACCCCGAAGTGACGTGCGCACTCGCTCCAGGTCTAGGGAGCCTTTCCTACCCGGGGACACAGACTTATCCAAGCCTCCTGCTCTCGTACCTGCGCCACGCCCTCCCCTGGGAGTTCTGGGGTTCCGCCCTCTGCTGGCCTGCGCCCCAAGGGGCCATCCTAACCGCCCCTGCCGCGTTGCCAGTGGTACAGCCCGGCTGCAAATCCCTGGTTGTCCAGGCAGCCACCGGGGCCCAGCCCGCGCCTCCTCCTTCTGCCACCGCGGTAGAGTGGGACGCCCCCTTCTGTGTCCACCCGCCGGCCAGGCCTGGCCCGGGTTACCCCGGGGGGCGGTGCATCCAACTCGGTTCCAGGTATGGGCGACCTCCACTAAGCGCGAGGCTAAGCAGCCCCTGTCCCGAGGGCCAGGGACCCACCCTGAATCCCCCCAGAACCTAGGGGTCTTGCTCCTCTCCATCACCCTAGGTAGGCAGCATTTAGGTTCGCCTCTTTCTGGGAAGAGGGGTGAGAAGAGGGACCCAATAGTGACGAAAACCTGGGGGGGGGCGTTGATGCTACTTATACTGCACCTCAGTCTGACCTATGGAGGGAGACGCACCTCCCATCAAGACCGCCCCTCCAAAGTTTGCAGGGATAAATGGGAGGTTGATGGAGGGGCTTTCTGGGGAGGCCAGGAGGGTCTGGCCAGGCTTACCCCGCTCTAGGCCAAACCCAGGTTGAGGTGATCCAGAGCCCTCGCTCTAGGAACACCACATACATCCCCCGGGACCCAAGCAACCTACTAGTTCTCTATCAGTTGCTGAAGGACGCCCAGGACAGTTACTGAGTACGAGCAGGGCAGCTGCTGAAAGCTAAAAAGGGAAAGCTTTGGCCTGGATAAAGGACCCATCTCCCAGGACACCCGTGGGTCCTGGGATCTCAAAGCACTAGGGCTCACAGACACAGGGATGCAGACTCTACCCTTGCATATCAGCTGGAGGTGTTAGGGGAGGTCAGCAGACAGCAGCCTTCTCCCCCTTCCTAGGCAGGGATCTCATGGCTGACCTGGCTGTGAGGTAGGAACCTCCCAAGGACAGGCTAGGCTGGGGGCAGGCTGCCCTGGAGCCCTGTTCTCAGGTGCCAGCCCCCTGCCCCTGGGCATTTCCAGGCCATACCCCAGGATGATGTGGACAGCCTGCTGGTGTTCCTAGGGGAGCCAAAGAAGCAGCAGAGGGTACAGCAGCTGGTAAGTCCTAGGTTAAATGCTGGAGGAAGCCTACTGTGGGCAGCTCTGCCTTTCTCCCTGAGAAGCTCTCGGTTCTGACCCTACAGGAATCTGAGCTCAGCAAGAAGAGAAAGAAATGCGAGAGCCTGGAGCAGGAAGCCCGGAAAAAGCAGAGGCAATGTGAGGAGCTGGTGAGCTCTTGAGGGGGGCAGCTCCCTGCTCTCTCCCAGGCCGGCCAGGTTGTGGGCTCCCTCACTCTGCTCCTATCCCTCTTGTTCTTGTGCTTTCCTTTCCTGGCCACTGCAGATTTCCAAGGGAGGCCTTGCTCAGTAGGGTAGAGTCCTCCACGTGAGGAGGACAGAAAAGTGGGTGCTAGACCCATCCTCAGAGTTTGTCTGTTTCCCAGGAACTACAGCTGAGAGCAGCCCAGAATGAGAATGCCCGCCTTGTGGAGGAGAACTCCCGGCTCAGTGGGACAGCCACCGAGAAGGAGCAGGTCTGTCTCCTGCCCTGTTGCTGGAGAGGGCTGTGCTCCAGTGAGGCCCAAAGGCCTACTCTGGGGTTGAGTTTGAATGGAACTATCCCTCTTTGGCAAGTTTCTCACAAGTTTAGCTCCCTGTCAATGTCCCCTCTTCAGGTGGAGTGGGAGAATGCAGAGCTGAGGGGCCAGCTTCTGGGGGTGACACAAGAGAGGGACAAAGCCCTTCAAAAGAGCCAGGGCCTACAGAGCAAGCTGGAGAGCCTGGAGCAGGTGCTGAAGGTGAGAGGCTGTGTAGGTGGCACAGGGAGAAGGTAGGACAGCAGACTAGGCCTCATGTGGACACTGGGTGTGAAATGTAGTTCTGGTGCTGCCTGTTGTTTGCCTTATCTAGCCTCAGTTTCCTTTTTAATAGAGGGCATCTGGAGCAGGTGGTAACTGAGGTTCCCTCATCTTCGATCTGTGAAAATGGTGGGATGGTAGGCTCTGGCCTTGACTCAGAGTCCTGTGTTTCAGCACATGCGGGAGGTGGCCCAGCGGAGGCAGCAGCTGGAGGTGGAGCATGAGCAGGCTCGGCTCAGTCTGCAGGAGAAGCAGGAGGAGGTCCGGAGGCTGCAGCAGGTGGGAGCAGGAGCAAGGGATGGGAGAATGTTAGACTGCTGCACCCCAGTTTCACCATCCGATCATCGAACAAGCATTTTCTGTGTACCCACTGTGTGTTAAACACTGGGGAGACAGTGGGGAAAAATCCAGGTCCCTCACCAGTCATCCACCCAGGAATGAGACGTTTCAGACCCTGACAAGTACAATGGCAGAGATGAACAGGGTGATATGATGAGGGGTGACTGAAGTGGGGTGAGGAGCCACTGTGGGAAGGTCATCTGGGGGGCTTTTCTGAGGAGGTGACAACTTACCTCAGGGATGAGAAGGAGTCAGCCAGGAGAGCCAGAGCAGAGCAGGCCAGGTAGGGAGACTAAATGTGTGAATGCTCTGTGGCCAAGAAGAGCTGGAGGCCCAGAATGCAGCAAGGGATGGGCAGAGTAGAGTGGCAGGGGCTAGGCCTTAAAGGCCATGGGAAGTTTGCATTTTTGTCTCTGTGAGCAGTTAGAGGATGTCCAAAGACTCTAGGCCAGGCGTGGGGCCCATGCCTGAATCCCAGCACTCTTCAGTAGCCAGAGGTAGGAAGATCCTGAGTTGGAGGCCTGTGTGGGTGATACCCTGTCTCAAAAAACCAAGGGGGGATGGAATCCATTCTAAGCAGGGGAGTGACATGATCTGATTCATAATTTCACAAGATCACATTGACAGGATGGATACTGTACATGGCATCCAGCAGGTGATCAGATGACTGTGGTCCAGGAGGGTACAGCTAACAATGGAGGTGGACAAGTGGATGGATTTGAAATACAGTTTGGGGTTAGAATTAGAGGACCCCTTCTGAATCACCCTTTAGCTCTGGGAGAATGGAGCTTTTCACACCTCACTCCCATCCCAGGAAGTAAAGGCTATAAGGGCATGTTTGTTTGCTTTCTATTGCTGTGATAAATACCATGCTCAAAAGCAAGTTAGGGGAAGAAAGGGTTTATTTCAGCTTACACTCCCAGGTCACAGACCATCGTTGAAAGAAGTCAGAACAGGAACTCAAGAAGGAACTGAAACAGACCATGGAGGAACAATGCTTACTGGCTCGTTCACTCACTAGCTTATGGTCTTTTTTTGTGTGTGTGTGACAGGATCTTACTATGCAACTACATACATAGCCTTGGCTGGCCTGGAACTCACTATGTAGACCAGGCTGGTTTCAAAATCAGAGAGATCCTTTTACCTCTGCCTTTGCCTCCTGAGTGCTGTGATTAAAGGCATGTACCACCATGCCCAACCCTAAATTTGCTTTCTTATACAGCCCAAGGCTATCTCCTTACAGATGGTACCACCCTTAGTGGCCTGGGCCCTCCTACACCACTCAAGACAGTCTCCCCACAGACATGCCCACAGGCCAGTCTGATCAAGGCAATCCTTCACTTGAGGTTCCCTTTTCCCAGTGACTCCAGGTTGCATCAAGTTGACAATAAAAACTAACCAGGACAGGGCAACAACTTTGGGAGGCAGAGCTCATCTCTGAGTTCTGCTTTGGCAAGTTTGGGTGGTATGCTAAGACATTCAAACAGAGATCACAGATTGTTGGACATGAGTCGGGAGCTATGGGAACGTTGGCTTTGGAGGTACTTAGAGTCATTAATAAGATGCATTTAGAAGAGAACAGAGAAGATAAAGTAGCCTGTATCCAGGGGCACCCTGACATTCTAGGAGGGTGGAAGACAAGGGGCAGGGAATGAGACTCAGAAAGAGCCACAGGCAGGTAGGAAGGAAGCTATCCATCAGGAGGGTGAATGTCCCAGAAACCGCACCAGTCTATAGGTGACCCCTCGGCCTTGGGCTTCCCAGACCCTTTCTCCTTTCCTCTCTACCCTACTCTGTCTCTCCTTGTCCTTCCTGCCCACCTTCCCTTCCTCATAACTCCCTCTTCTCCACCCTGGTTCTGTTCTGCATGCTTCCCTTCCAGCATTTTGCTCTTCCTATCTGCAGGCCCAGGCAGCAGCCAAGAGGGAACATGAAGGGGCCATGCAGCTACTGGAGGTAGGGGTCCTGCAGCTGACAACTGGGGGACTTCAGACGGAGTATGGAGAAGTGGGAGGGAGTGGAAGGAGGGCCCTGAAATGCTCTAAGGCCTTGGGGAACCCTCTCCATCATTGGCCTATTTCTTAGGTTGGGATGCACAGAGATGGGGGCTCTTGAGTCTTGTAGTTGTAGACCCTCCCATTGCCACTTACCTCAGAGACTGACCTCATCCTGAAATATCTTTTTATCGGGAGTTGCTCAGTCAGCCCAGGGCACTGATGGGGTAGTATCCACTGAAGTCCCCTTTTCTTCCCTCTCTGGGATATTGACCCAAGGAGCTAAGGGTTCTAACTTCTCTTCTGTGCTTTCCTTCTCCACAAGTCTACCTTGGATTCCATGCAGGTACAGTCTCCTTACCCCCTCCCACTCCTGATCATCCCCTTCCCACATCTCTCCCATATCCCTTTCCTCAGGCTCCAACTCCGATGTCCAACAGAGGGGGCATCACTGATTGCAGACCTGAGACTCCATAGATATGCTGGAGGTCCTACAGGACATGTGGGCTGTCCCCTCTTCTCAGACCTGCTACTGGCTGTGATAGGCACAGGGCCTTCCCTCCTGTCATCTCAGATCATGAGGAAGTTCGTCACCAGTTGACTCATGCCCCTCGTGATATTGTCAGTGGGAGAGCCCCTGGTCTAGGGACTTGCCTGGTACCTGAGAAAAGGTCATGAGAACCGGCCCATTCTATCCCTAACTTCCCATGGAACCTCTCACCCACCTCTCTGAGGGAAGGGCCACTGCCTATGGGAGAGTAACGAGGGGTAGCTCTAAGAAAACTCCTGAGTCGTTGTTGTTGGTAATGGTTGGTGGGAATATCTCTTTAGCCTATAAAGTGGATAAAGTGTCCTGAGGCAATGGTATCACTGCCCTGGGCCTGAGGGTGGGTGAGTGTATGGCAGGTTCAGGCTGGTGTGTGTGTGTGTGTGTGTGTGTGTGTGTGCACGTATGATCTGAAGCCCAGCATGGGGCTATGTAGAGCTGGCTAGCACTGTGCAGCTTTTCTGGGCTTGGTAACTCATGGTGAGTCTTGGCCCAGGCCCGGGTTCGAGAGCTTGAGGGCCAGTGCCGCAGCCAAACCGAGCGCTTCAGCCTTCTGGCACAGGAGCTCCAGGCCTTCCGTCTGCACCCAGGACCCCTGGATCTACTTACTTCTGCCCTGGGCTGTAGTGCCCTTGGGGACCATCCACCACCCCATTGCTGCTGTTCTACCCCTCAGCCCTGTCAGGCGTCCGGCCCCAAAGGTAAGGTGTATCTCAGTGACATTGGCCTGGAATCCCCAGGCCTGCAGCTTTTGTATAGTGAAAGTAGTTCAGGGTCAGAGAAGGCCAGCAGCATGCCATCCAAAGTCACACAGTAAGTTCAAGACATACTTGGTTAGAGCCAAGATCTCAGGACATTGTTCCTCCCCCTCTAACTGGGAGTTGGGCCCTAACAGTATCAGGGTTTAAGGAAAAGTCAGGCATTGGAGGTCAGTCAGATCTACTGGTCTTGGCTCTATTCCCTGACCAGACAATTTGAGTTTCAACATGTTGCTTAACCTCTCTGAGCTGTAAGCCAGGGAAAGCTCAATGCATTTCACCAAGTGCCCTGAGGACCTTGTAAAATAATGTATATAAATCACCCACACCTCTGCCTAGCAAGTTCCTTGCCAAGTATTTCTTTAGGAAATCTGGCTACAGAGGTCAGGTGCCCACATCCAAGAAATGCCAACCAGTTCCCCCAGCTATTCCTCCCATCTTCTCTTTAGACACTGACCTCCCACCGGGCTCCCCAGGACACTGCACCCCAAAGTCTTCTGAGCTTGCACTTGCCACCCTTACTGGGGTTCCTCGAAGAACAGCCAAGAAAGCAGAGTCTCTCTCTAACTCCTCTCGCTCTGAGTCCATCCACAACAGCCCCAAGTCATGCCCGACACCAGAGGTCAGTGCTGTGCCAGGGGCCTTAGGTTCAGGTGTTGGCTTGGGGAAGGAGCAGAGGTGGGCCCTGACCTCTTATGAAAGTTGAGTGGCCTCGGATCCCAAGCTGGGACATCAAAGGCCTGTGGGTTCTTCCAGTGGGCAGGAGCTCAGGTGGAGCCTGCTGTCCAGGGTGCACTTGCCAGTGTTCCCCTCAGAGGTCCAGGGAGGTCTTAGAACCCTCGGCTAGATGAGAATACACTTTGGAGCCTGGATCTGCGAATTGAATTTGTTCATAAGTGCATCTGTAGTGGAAGCAGTTGATTATATGAGAAAGCGCACAAGCTCCCAGATTCAGATCCCAGCTTTGTGTTAAGGAAGTCACACACAATGTCTCTGGGCTTTGGTTTCCTTATCTGAATATTGAGGATAATAAAACCTGCCTTGTAAGCTTGTAAGGATTTCATGAAAAGTAATAGCTGATGAGGATCACCCAGGAGACCCTAAACATGGCAGCTGTGGTCATCACTAAGATCACTCACAGCTCTTCTGATTGCCTTGTCCCACTTTCTACCCATGAACCCCCAAAAGTGGAGAGGACTCAGTTCCATGCATCTTCTGCCCCCTCGTGGTACTGAGTGGTGGTGCTGTCTTTGGGTGAGATCTGGGGGCTGCTTAAGGGTCACTTGCTCCCAATAGAGAAGTTCCAAGCTCCAGGGTTGAAGTACTGAGGCACTATCTCAGGGATAGAGGAGGCTTCTCCAACCCCCCTTCCTCCTTGCTTCCAGCTCTTTACAAATGACCTGTTTTGCTGTGTTTCTGTCTTAAGAAGCCACACTACCATTGATGCCTACTGACATGGCCACCACTCAGGTTCGGGAGGTCTTATTTCATGAGTTGGAACCAAGGGAAGGGGCCAAGCTGTTCTCACACCCCGGCACTAGAACAGCTGTGTGCTCCACAGACCTCCTGGCTCCAATATTGGTTTAGAGATTTGCTGGGGCTCACTGTCATTGGCCTTGCAGTGTGTGCCCTTCTCAAAGCTAGATCCTCTGCCTGCTGTGTCTTGGGTGTTGGACCTTGAGCCCTGGGGAGGAAACATCTCTTTCTGCTTGCCCAGGTGGACACAGCCAGTGAGGTGGAGGAATTGGAGGTAGACAGCATCTCCCTGCTCCCAGCAGCTCCTGAGGGCAACTCGGGAGGAGCCAGAATCCAAGTCTTCCTAGCACGCTATAGGTGGGTCTCTTGTTCACCCTGCCAGCATTAGCATTGGGGGACATAGAGGTCAGAGTTCAATGAAGATGGAGACCTCTGGAAGTAGTGGAAGTTGGTATAAGGGTCCAGCTGGACATGTGCTTATAACATAGTTGAGCCAAGGCTCACACAGTGAATACGCTTCTTGGCTTCAGTAGAAACTAGGTCTCCAGGAAAGGCTTAGGAAGTGACCGAGAGAAGCTAGATGTGGACATGCAATGTCAGCCGCTGCATTCTTCCTCCCTTGTGACTCCCCCAACAGCTATAACCCCTTTGAGGGTCCCAATGAGAACCCAGAGGCGGAGCTTCCACTGACAGCTGGTGAATACATCTACATCTATGGTAACATGGACGAGGACGGCTTTTTTGAAGGTAGGATGGTAATAGAGATCACCCTATCCATTCTCTTGCCTTTAATATCTTATTCCCAAAGACCTGCCCTCCTAGTCCTGCTCCTCAGAACACTCAGTCCACCTAAATTGGACTGAGTTAGGGACTGTTCTGAGACTTGTGGTAGCCAGTGGGGAAAGAGAAAGTGACTTAGCCCCAAACAAGCCAGGCCAGGGCACAACCAGTCCAGATGATGAAAAGTATGTCACAGGGTGTTTTGGCTGGATTCACTTTTGTGCTGGTAGACAGAGCAGTATTCAACAATGTGACAGTTGGGGTCAGGCTACGGTCTCTAGTCAGATATGGGCAGGAGCGGACCAGTTTCAGATTTCAGACAGTCTGAGCAGGTGGTAAGCAGGTGTCAGGGTCCAAGCAGGGCTAAACTTCAAGGATGTTCTCCAGGTCTTAAAAGGAACCACAGGGCTCACCATTCAGAGACAGATGCCCTATCAAGACTGGGTCATCGGGAACAGCTCCAGAAGGAATGGTCGCAGGAGGCTCCTCTAGGGTGTTCCTGGTTTGGGCCTCAAACTGTATCCGTCAGCAGTGGAGAGGAAAGATACTGGGATAAGGCACGCTCAGGATGTGGCAAAGGCCACACACTGTGTGTAGAGATTTAAGAAAGGGGTCAGATCTGAGTGTGGAACACCAAAAGCTTTGGAGCCTGCTCATTCCCTTTCCCTGGCCCTGGGCCTGCTAGTTGAGCGACTTCTGGGAATGTTGGTACCTGGCTTTGTAGCCCAAACAGCTAAACTCCCCATAAGGGTAGATTCTAAAGAAGAAGATTAATGGCTTCCAGAATCATACTTAATTTGGTTTCGTTTGTTTGGTTTGGTTTTGAGTACTGGGGCTTGTAAGTACTTTAACACTGAGCTAGCTCCCCATTTTACTCTATGTAAGACAGGATCTCATAGGCTTCCCAGACTAGCCTTGTACTTGCTAATACCCAGGTTGGCCTTGAACTTTTGATCTTCTTGCCTCATTCTCCCAAGTAACTGGGATTACAGTCCTGTGCCACCAGTCTGGGTGATCATGTTTTAATGAAAACAGATGCCACCATTTTTTGAAAGGGGCAGTGAAAGCATAAGATTATATCTCAGTTAACTAGAATTTGTACTGTGTGGTCTCAGGGAGATTGGGATAGATTTAAAGGAATGTAGATAACTAGATGTCCAGGCCATATTTATGTCCAATTTTTGTAAGGGACTGTATACTTTGTGGCTGGTCCCCACTGCACTGTTTTGAGTGGCATGAGCTTTAGGGGCCTGACTCTGGCCTAGGCTCCTGCTCCTGCCTTGCAGGTTGCAGATGCATGTGGTGTGAACCCTCCCACCTTTCTTCCTATGCTCCATAGTGGTGGTATTTACATTATCATCAAGGCTGTCTTGAGAAATATTATTAGCTGAGTAGCTTCAAACAACAGACACCAGTTCTCTAGAATAGTCCAGGACTGAGGTGTTAGCAGGGCTGTGTTCCCTTGGAGGCTCTAGGGAAATCGCATTCCTTCTCTCTTTCAACTTCCAGTGGCTCCAGGTGTTCCTTGGCTTATGGCCACATAACTCCAATCTCTCTATCTGTAGTCACATTGCCTCCTCCTCTCTTTAGTGTCTTTCCAATATGTTTTTTTTTTTTTTTTTTTTTTTTGGTCTTTTTGAGACAGGGTCTCCCTGTAGCCCCAGCTGACCTGGAATTCACTATGTAGACCAGGCTGGCCTTGAACTCACAGAGCTCCGCCTGCCTCTGCCTCCCAAGTGCTGGGACTACAGGCTTGTACCACCACGCCCAGCTCCAGTGTGCCTTTTTTAAGGACACTTGCTATTAAGTTAGAGCCCATCTGGATCATCTAGAATAAAGATCCTTAGCTTAATTATAGACTCTTTTTTCCAGGTTAGGCCACGTTCTCAGGTTCCAGGAATTGGTACATGGTCCTGTTTGGGGTGGCCACCATTCAGCCCACTACGGTGTTTATTATACTATTTAACTTATTGAGAGTCCTGGTTGTTTCTTCAAATGGCCTTCGTTTTTCTTTCAATATCAGCAGAAAGAGAGGGGAGGGACACAGAGTAATCCTGGGGACATGCCGGGCACCCTGAAACTCAGCCCTACCTTCTGCTTCCCCTTCTTTACAAAGGGACTCTGCAGCCCCCACTGTCTGCTCCCTGAGAATTGATTTTTTTCAAATTGTCTGTGGCATGGCATGTGTTTACCCAGCTTCTTTCCCCCCTTGATGCCTCTTAAGTGGCCAACAAATGTTTTTAAAAACTCTCATCACAGTCACATCTTCAGGACTGACACAGATAACAAAGACCTACTGGGCACTGCTTGGGTTGATGCAAGCCATGCTCCTGGGTATAGGTCTGTGGGTCCTGACCCCTTCTAGAACCCCCAGGTGACTCTTTTCTGGCACTTCTCCTCTTACCCTGAAGAGGTTATTCTTTTTCTCTCTTTGTGGATGTCTGTTTTTCACAAAAGCAAGTTGAGGAGTCCCACGGCCTCCTCAAGCCTGTATAAAATCTCCTACAATAGAACATTTTTCCTTCCCCCTTCTTCCCTTCCTTCCCTCTCTTCTTGTTTATAAAACAGGATCTTGTGTAGCCCAAGTTGGCCCTCAACTCGTTATGTAGCCAAGGATGACCTTGAACTCCTGGTCCTCTTGCCTCCATGTAATATTGTACCCAGATCTCTTAAAAATATTAATTTATTCACTGACAATTTCATACATGTATATAATACACTCTGGTCACACTCATCCCTCCAGCCTCTCCTCCTACCCACCAACATCCCCTATCCTCCCACGGAGTCTTCATCTCACTTTCGGATTTTTGTTTTTGCTTTGTGACCCACTAGGTTTAACCAGGGCCACTTGTGTGGGCATGGGTACGAAGCTGTCCTCTGGCTACATCACCGAAGACAACAGCTTCCTGTCCTTGAGCAGCCATTCACTCCCCTGGGTGGGGTGGGGCAGGGTCCCACAATTTCTCTCCCTCCCCCTCTTTATTGAGATAGATTCTCACTTTGTAATCCAGTCTAGCCTCAACTTCCCAACCTCCTGCCTCTGACCTGCCAAAAATTGGGTTTGTAGGCATATGGCACCACTTGCAGCTACTTAAGCTTTTTACTATGAAAGTTTTCAAATGTGTAGAAAACATCAGCGGTGGGGGTACTGGAGATGTAGCTCAGTTGCTTGCTAACCAGGCACAAAGCCCTGGGTTTGATCCCCAATACTGCCTAAAACCCTGAGTGCATAAAAACTTGTAATCCTAGCACTTTTGAGGTAGTGGTAGGAGGATCAGAAGTTCAAGGTTATCCTTGGCTACATAGTGAGTTTGAGGCCAGCCTGGGCAATGTGGAATCCTGTCACAAAAAAACAAAGCAAAACAAAATATCAAAGACTACTACAATGAAAGCCATCATAGACTTTACAGTTGTTTATACCCTGCCATATCTGCTCTCTCTGTACATAGGTTAAACAGAACTATTGTGAAATGAGTTATAACTGGGCATGGTGGCACACACCTTTAATCCCAATCCCAGCACTCGGGAGACAGAGGCAGATGGATCTCTGTGAGGCAGAGGCCAGCTGCGAGCCTGCTCTGCATAGCGAGTTCCAGGCCATCTGGGGCTACAGAGAGACCCTGTCTCAAAAGAAAAATATAAAAAGTTGTAGATATCGTGACCTTTTCCCTAGAAATACTTCAGCATTCCTTGATTTAGAACATGGACACTGTCATAGGTCTTGGCAGCACCAGTGTCACCTGGGATCTGCTCAGAATTGCTGAAGCTTAACACCTCAGGGCATATTTAGAATTTGCATTAAAAAAAAAAAAAACACCAAAAAACTGCAGGGAATTCATACCCACGTTAAAACTGGGGCTACAGAGAGACCCTGTCTCAAAAGAAAAATATAAAAAGTTGTAGATATCGTGACCTTTTCCCTAGAAATACTTCAGCATTCCTTGATTTAGAACATGGACACTGTCATAGGTCTTGGCAGCACCAGTGTCACCTGGGATCTGCTCAGAATTGCTGAAGCTTAACACCTCAGGGCATATTTAGAATTTGCATTAAAAAAAAAAAAACACCAAAACACTGCAGGGAATTCATACGCACGTTAAAATTTAAGAAGCACTGTCCTATATAACAAAAATCCCATGCTCACACCCACAAAAGTCAACAGTAGTTCGCCAGTTCAGCTGTCTTTGGTCTTTTAAAATCATTGACAGGTAAAAGTTGACTTAAATCAGATTATGAAATTCACAAGCCACCATTGCTAAAATGTACTTACTGGAGCAGCTTTTCTTTACTTCCTTTCCATCTGTCTTCCCTTTCCCTACCTCTTCCTGTCCTCCCTCTGCCAGGGGAGCTCATGGATGGCCGAAGGGGTCTGGTCCCCTCCAATTTTGTAGAGCGCGTATCTGATGATGACCTCCTGACCTCCCTCCCTCGGGAGCTGGCTGATTTGTCACACAGCTCTGGGCCTGAACTCAGTTTCCTGAGCGGAGGTGGGGGTGGCAGCAGCTGTGGGGGCCAGAGCAGCGGAGGACATAGCCAACCCAGACCAGAGGAGGAGGCTGCAGGGGATGAACTCAGTCTGAGCCCCCCACCTGAGGGTCTGGGTGAGCCCCTGGCTGTGCCTTACCCCCGCCGTCTCGTGGTCCTCAAACAGCTAGCCCACAGTGTAGTGCTGGCCTGGGAGCTGCCACCTGAGAGAGTAGATCTTCGTGGCTTCCATATCTTTGTCAACGGGGAGCTGCATCAGGCACTGGGACCTGGGGCACCCCCAAAAGCTGTGCTTGAAAACTTGGACCTGCGGGCTGGGCCCTTCCATGTTTCTGTCCAGGCCCTGACCAGCAGAGGCAGCTCTGACCCTCTGCGTTGTTGCCTGACTGTGGGTGCTGGCACTGGGGTTGTACCCAGCCAGCTACAGATCCATCGGTTGACAGCCACATCTGCTGAGATCACATGGGTGCCCAGCAATAGCAACTTGACCCATGCCATCTACCTCAATGGGGAAGAGCGCCCACCTGCCCGTCCCAGCACCTACTGGGCCACCTTCTGCCACCTGCGGCCTGGCACGCTCTATCAAGCTCGAGTAGAGGCTCAGATCCCACTGCGAGGGACCTGGGAACCAGGCTGGGAGAGGCCAGAGCAGTGTGCCGCCACTCTGCAGTTCACCACACTCCCGGCAGGTATGCATGTGCGGGCACTGATGTCCATAATACTTGGGCCATGTGTGACAGGGAAGACTGGCCCTGTGTGCATTCTCAGGAGAGTGACTGCCATCACTATGGAACAGTGTCTAACATTGTTTTGTCTTGTGCCTCTTGTCTCCCAGGCCCACCTGATGCCCCTCTAGATGTACAGATTGAACCAGGGCCCTCCGCTGGAATCTTGATGATCAGTTGGCTCCCCGTCACCATTGATGCTGCCGGCACCTCCAATGGTGTCCGGGTCACAGGCTATGCCATCTATGCTGATGGGCAGAAGGTATGGCCTGGGCAGGCCAGCTGCCTGTACCCAGGGGGAAGGATGTGGGTCCCTTCTTGCTATGCTTAGAAGCCTATCTCCTTGACCTGGCAGAGATGCCCAGTCCCTGGTCTTTGGGCATTATTTGGTAGATTGATTGAGAGCATGAGCATTGGCTGCCCATTAGGGACTGAGGAACTGCTTCTGCTCTGAAGCCATGTGGTAGGGAGGACTGAGTGAAATAGGTATGTGAAAGCCTTGGCACATGGCTGGCAGGATGTCAGCAGCCCTTGTCACCATGTCCTCACACTTGGCTATCTCAGCCTCCCTTCCTCCCATGTTCCTTCTTTGTCACAGATGATGGAGGTGGCTTCCCCCACAGCAGGCAGCGTGCTGGTAGAGATATCCCAGCTGCAGCTACTGCAGGCATGCCGTGAGGTGACTGTGCGCACTATGTCACCCCATGGCGAGTCGGCTGACTCCATCCCGGCCCCTGTTGCTCCAGCCCTGGCTCCTGTCTGCCAGCCAGCTGTGATGTCCTGCCCCTCACCACGACCAAGCCTAGAGGTCAGAACACCCCTTGCTCCAGCCTCCCCAGGGCCTGGGGATCCCAGCTCTCCTCTCCGACACCCTGCTCCTCATGGAACTCAAGAGTCCCCAGCAAGTCTTTCTGTGGAGATGTCCAAAGGACCCCAAGAGGAACCTCCAGTCCCTTGCTCTCAGGTACTCAATCTGTGTGGAGGGAATCAGGTGCAAGATGAGAGACAGGTTGGAGTTTGGTTCCTTTCTCAGTGCCATCTATTTCAGGAAGAGGCCGGGGCAGCTATGCTGGATGCCTCAGAGGAGAGGAGGACCAGTGAGCCAACCCTGGGCCAGGGAGGCCTGGGCCTTGTGGCTTCCTCTCTGGCTAAGCAAGAAGTAGACTGGACTTCAGGAGACTCTGGACACAAACCTTGCTCCACTCAAGGAGCATTGGCCCAGAGGGCACTGAGTACTGAGTCCTGCCATGGAGGAGATCTGGGCTCGGGGCTGGGACCTGGAGCTGAGGTAGGGTTTGGGGGCTTGCCATCCACCTTACAGAGTCAAGGCTTGCCTCCCTTCCCCTCTCCTTGTGGTCTGGCTCTGACACCTTTTTTTTGTTGTGTCTCTGCTTCTTTGATTTTTCTTCCTTGATTTTCCTGTCCCATTTGCCCCCCTCTCTTACCCTCTACTTTATCATTGTGTGTACCTGCTTTCTGGCTGGTTTTTTCTTCCTCTTCCAAGAGACCCATTCTGATACAGGCAGCTGACCCTGCCTAGAACCCTTCTTCCTGTGTTTCTTCCCTGTGTCTCTTCTTTTTTCCTTTGATGTCATTTAATTTCTTTTTTTGAGACAGGGTCTTATTCTGCAGCCCAGCCTGGCCTATAGCGTAGGCGGGCCATCAACCTGTCAACCTCCTGCCTCAGATTTCTGAGCACTGGGATACAGGCTTAATCTCCTGTCTTGATTCATATAGAAAGAAGACACATCAGAGCTTGGAGTCTGCCTGGTGAACTCCTTTGTAGATCATGGCCGCAACTCAGACTTATCCGATATCCAGGAGGAGGAAGAAGAGGAAGAGGAGGAAGAGGACATCGGCTCCAGGGCTCATTCCTTCCAGAAGCAGGTTGCTGGCAACAGCATCAGGGAGAATGGAGTCAAGGTAACAGGGTGGGGAGAGGTTGGCCGGCCCCAGACCTCAGGCTTCAAGGGCCTCCACTCCCATGGCAGCTGCTCCAGCCGCCACTGAGCACCAGCAACATTCTAGGTGTGTGGCCTGGATCCCGTACTAAGCATTGGATTTCGTGAAGAGGCTCAGGACCTTTTTTATCCTGTAGGGAAGGGGAGGAGAGCTCTCTCCACGCTTTCTCTCTAGCCTCCTAGATGTAACACCCAGTACTGGGAAGCAGGTGCCCTCTGAAAGCCTTGTGCTGGGAGCCTCTTGGGAGGGAACCAGAAGTCATCCATATGACAGGCCTTGCTTGCTCCCCCATCCTCCTGCCCCAGAGGCACTGGTGCCTCATCCACAGTTCAGCCTGGACGTAGGTGTGACTTTGGGCCAGCCACTTCCCTTCTGGTTCTTTCTTCTTGGCAGAAGCTGAGGGAGGGCTGGGGGTGTGGCCCTAACCCCCGTCCTCATTTGAGGGCAAAGGTTCCCGACCTCTCTTCTCCACGGACCTCTCCTCCCTGCCGCTCTCTTCTCCCCACTCCCAGCCCCAGCCAGACCCCTTTTGTGAGACTGACAGCGACGAGGAGATCTTGGAGCAGATCCTGGAGCTGCCTCTCCAGCAGTTCTGCAGCAAGAAGCTCTTCAGCATCCCTGAGGAGGAAGAAGAGGAGGACGAGGAGGAAGGGGAGGAGGAGAAACCAGGGCCCTGCTCTTCTTCCCAAGACCCTACCCGGCCTGAACTTGCATTGCTAGGGTTGGGCTGTGAAAGCAGTCAGTCCCAGGGACCTGGTCTGTGTCCCTTGTCTCCTGAGCCCTCCAGGGCCAGGGACCACCTGGAGGACATGCCCGGAGTAGTTGGTGGAAGCAGCCGGAGGAGAGGAGGTGGCTCCCCTGAGAAGCCCTCAAGCCGCAAGAGACCTCTGGATCCCGGAGAACACTGCAGCCGGCTCCTTGGCAATGGCGGGCCCCAGACCTCTGCTCGGCCAGGCCTCCCACGGGAGAAGGGTGTCCTCCCTGTGATTGAGGGCACCAGGGGTGGACTGGAAGCTGGTGGGAGAGGGCGGCCGGGCCTTTCCCGGAGGTGCCCTCGAGGTCTGGCTCCAGAAGCCAGCCTGGTCAGCTGCCTCTCCCCAAAATGTTTGGAGATCAGCATTGAGTATGATTCTGAGGATGAGCAGGAGGTGGGCAGCGGGGGCATCAGCCTCACCAGCTCCTGCTACCCCACAGATGGGGAGGCCTGGGGCACAGCGCCTGTAGGAAGGCCCAGGGGACCTCTGAAGTTCAATTCAGGCCCCAACCCCTACGTGCACCTCCCAGCCTGGGAGAAAGGGGAACCAGAGTGGAGAGGCCGCAGTGCACCTGGCAGAACCAAGGAGCCACCCTCCCGGGTCTGTGCCCACTCCCCACTCTGGGCAGCCGCCTGCCTGCTGCCGCCTGGTGGCTCTGCTTGCTGCCCACCAGCCACTCCCATTCCACGCTGCCACTTCCATCAGCAGAGGTGGGGCTGGGCCTCCGGGCTCCCTCACCTGTCTCCTCCCACCTACATTCCACTGCTTTGCTGCTTCTGTTGAACGGAACTGGGATGCACAATATTCTGTTATCACTGGCAGCCACACGCCACCTTGGGCAGGGTGGCCCTTTCCTCTGAGTAGCTAGCTATGTCTTCAGGACACTTGACTGTGATGCCATGTTCAGAGTCACCAGCCCTGATGCTGATGGGAGACTGTCTTCTTAAACGCTCCTTGGCCACCTCAAGCCCCTCTACTGCACTCATCTTCTGGGGGGAGGCGGGAGTCTCCCGCCCTTCCTTCCACGGTGGGGATGTCTGGTGCCTCAGTGAGGCTGGGCCAGGCCCCTGGAGAGGAATGCTGTGCTCCTGTTCTGCTGTGCCGCTTATGCTGCTGCTGGGGCAGAGCTGGGGCTCGAGGGCCACCCCCAGGATGGTGTGTCACTTCTGCCATCTGTTACCCTCTCTTTGCAGGCAACAGAAACTGGGGAGCCCAGAGGGCGGGACAACTCTGGGTGGAGGGGACCCCAGAGGAGAGGGACCCGGGTGCCTAGGCCTGGTGCTACTGACATGGGTAAGTACCTAATGGGGGCTGGACCAGACTCAGGGAGCCTTTCTCCATCTTGGATGCTCACCGAGTTACTGCCCTGTCCCCAACCCTCTCCTCAGCCTCTCCAAGGAGCCCTCCAGAAGCACCAACTCATCAAGATATACCTGTGAGGGTCTTTGTGGCTCTGTTTGACTATGATCCCGTGTCAATGTCACCCAACCCTGATGCTGGAGAAGAGGAGCTTCCCTTCAGGGAGGGTCAGATCCTGAAGGTGACTAACTCGCCCCCTGGGCCTAGAGCTCATCTCTAGCCAGCATCCTGCCTCCTTCTATCTCCTTCCTGCATAGAATTGGGGAAGGGTCAGAACATGGCTCTGGGAAGACCCTGTGTCTTCCACTTCTAGCTGTGTAGCTTGGAGCAGATTGTAGCACCTCTCTGGATCTCACTTTCCTCACTGGTAGAATGGGAATGGTACTGGTGACCTCATAGTCTCTGTGGAGTGAATGATTCAAGGTATACACGGCACTGATTTGCACACGGTCAGCACAATGGGACTGTTTGCTGCTAACGTTACCATTTTTATAATTCCTCCAAGTATTGATGGAAGGCCTTTTGCTGTTCTCTGAAGTTGGGGAGATCAGTCTGGGGTGCCCTGAGGGAAAGGCCATGTAAAGAGTGGGAGGTAATGATTCAGAGAAAGGTGTTTTCTCATCTCCTCTTGGTCCCAAGTCTTTGCTGTTTTCTCCTCTTTTCTGCCCCACAATCTATAGCAAAGAACATTCTTCTGCAGTTCCAAGTGGGGTGCCGCCAGGTTTCAGGGCTGGGAAGCAGGGAGTGGGCAGAACTGATCTTGAAACAACTGATCTTTGCTTCCAGGTGTTTGGGGACAAAGATGCTGATGGCTTCTACTGGGGTGAAGGTGGGGGCCGCACAGGCTACATCCCCTGCAACATGGTAGCTGAGGTGGCTGTGGACAGTTCAGCGAGGAGACAGCAGCTGCTGCAACGGGGTTTCCTGTCTCCAGATGTTCTCACTGAGGGCTCAGGTATGATCTGCTGCTGTCCCTCGCCCCTCACCCACCACCCTGGGTCTAACCCAATCCCATCCCGAGAGAATTGTGTTGTCTGGGATGGTTCAGGTGCCTCATTTACCCTGAATTTAGCAGAGTCACTCAAACCTGGCAGAGAGTAAAGCCAGCATGCCTTCCCCTTCACCTCCTTGCAGCTCACCCTGGGTAAAGGCCTGTTTAAGAGACTATAATGATGCTAACCACGTCTTTTGAGCCCTAGAAGTGAGCTTGGCTCTTATTTCAGATGTGAAATGAGGCTCTTAAGAACTGAGCTCAGGGGTTAGGGATGTGGCTTAGTGGTAGAGCACTTGCCAATATGCAAGGCCCTGGGTTTGATTCTCTGGACTACAAAGCAAAACAATAACAGATTCCACAAGAACACTGGCAGTAGCCTCTAGTCTGTCCTATTCCCCCACTCTACTTGCCTTTCTCAATCAGGAAATGGTCCCTTTGTGTATCCCACAGCCCGCACAACTGGGCCTCCCCCAAAGCCCCGCCGCGCCAAGAAAGGTAAGACCCCATCCTCCTGTGATGCCTGTGACCACATGTGTGGGTTGGTGGTGGGGTGGCAGTGTGACTCTCTGAAGAGATACCTGCGGGATTTTGAACAGATAAATGAACTAGAGGAAACCCCCACCCACATCCTCCTCATGTTGTGGGGACTTCATTGTGGCTATAAATTCTGTGCACACTGAAGGATGTCACTGGTTCTGGGCCTTTGCTTACTATGGAAACAAAGGGTTGTGCTGATGAACTTTCTGAGCATGCTTCTTCCTATGTCCTTTGTGGGAGGGTGCGCATTCTGCCTGCCCTGCACCAGTCCATAGGATGAGGCAGGCAGGGCTCAGAGGCACATTCTCTTTACAGCAGAGTTGGAAGGCCCAATCCAGCCCTGTCTAGGTGAGGAACCATCTCTGGGTAAGGGTGTCTGGGGAAAGAGGTGGGATGGGGCAGGCCCCCTATACTCTCCTAGCTGCAACAGTGGGATGGTGGGGAATGGGGGATGTCATCGGATTTTAATGCCGAAGACAGTCTATGAAAGGAGTTCTTGGGAGTCTTGAATCTTCTTCCTTCCCTCTGCAGGCCCTCCCAAACTCATCCCCTCTGCTGGCCTGAAGGCCTCCCGGCTTATGGTGGCTGCATTTGACTACAACCCCCGGGAAAACTCCCCCAATATGGATGTGGAGGTGGGAACCCTCAGATGATGCCAAGTAATGGGGAGGGAGTGGCAGGACTTTCCCAGGTCTGACGTCTGCCTCTTGCTCTCTCTACAGGCAGAGCTGCCCTTCAAGGCAGGGGATGTCATTACTGTGTTTGGGAATATGGACGATGATGGTTTCTACTATGTGAGAATACTGTGGGGGAAGGTGCACGGCCCTCCACTTGGGTAGGGGGATAAGCAAGGGATCCTGACAGAATCCTCGGGGAATGAGGCCTGGGTTACTCAGCAGTGATGTTGGCCACAGGCTGTTCCCTGGGGGTCTCAAGGTCAAGGGGACAGGGATGGGAAATTCTTCCTTGTCTTAATCTCATCAGACATCTCCTCCCCAGGGGGAACTGAATGGACAAAGGGGTCTGGTTCCATCGAACTTTCTGGAGGGCCCTGGGCCTGAGGCTGGTGGCCTGGAGCCTGGGACACCCCAGGCTGAGAGTCAGGTCAGTGAGGAGCTGGGCGCCCAACTCAGCATTTAATCTCTACCCTGCTGGTATGGTGGAGCCAGGACGGTATGGTAGGATGATCTCAGGAGGCTGAATCTATAATACAGAGGAACACCGTGTGCCCCAGCACAGGAAGGTTCCACTGGGCCACCTCTACCTAGTATACACCCCTGTCTGCAGACCAGTGATGGCTGAGACCCTGAACCCCAGGGTCATCCTACCTGACTGTTGATACCCAGAGGTTGATGCAAGAGAGGAGCCCTGTAGGAAAGGACCTCTGCCACTAGCCAGCGATTCAAGGTGTTCCCACCCTGCTAGGTCTTCCTGCCTCTGATATGCCTTTTGAAGTCAGTTGCCCAGCAAAGCCTAGCTTCCTGGGTTCTCATTTCTTACCTCTCCTTGGGGTGGGTGGGTAGGATAGAATTAAGTTTCTAGCCTCAGAGAGCAGGACGAGGAGACCAAACTCCAACTAGAAAACCCAAGTCTTCCATATGCAGCAGTCTCAAACTCGAAGGCTGTGCCAAACAGGGACCACCTGGAACCTAGGTCAGCTGGTAGTTGGTGGAGCTCATGCAGGTCTGTCGGTAACCTATCTCCTCTCTTTGTTCCCTGTTCTCAGAGAACGAGAAGGAGAAGAGTCCAGTGCTAGATGGAAATAGATATTTGTAGAGAGAGCAACATGTAAGTGGGGACACTGGTCCCTGTGTTCCATGCAACCCTCACTCCTCCCCACCTCACCATAACCAGACAGCACCCCTTTGTCTCAAATGGAACCAACCTGACTTTTCGGCTTTCTTCAGGGAATGAGGGAGGGGGAGCTCTTGCCATGAGCCAGATGTGGGTGTGGAGTCACCCTCCCTCTCCCCACTCCCTTGCCTTGCCTCTACCCTGGGCAGTGCCAGCTAGCTGTCATAGGAGAACATGTCATCTTAGCGTTTGACATCACACCTTAGCTGACTCCTTATATTCCATAACATATGCAGCTTATGGAACATTGTGTGGTACCTGTGTTATTACTCAGTGGTATTATGATACTGTATGGCTATGGTAATGATAATATTGTGATTATTATTAGTGACAGGAAGATGATACAGTCATGTCACCAGTAATAATAGCCTTCCCACCCTGCTCTTCTGTGTTTTGACCCGTTAGACTAGAATCAGACACTTGCTTTTGTTTCTGTCTCTTAAATTTCTCTGCTTAGAAGATAAAAGAGAGAGCTTGAATAGTTGAAATCTCTAGGCCACCTCAAGCCATTCTTCTGTGGGGCTCAGAGAGCCCCTCCTTTTGTTTCACCAGCCACCCTGTCCCTCTCAGGAAAGACCTGAGACTTCCAGTGGCCATGAGCCTTGGTGGTGGCCATTGACCTCCAGGCCTGGGCAGATTCACTCTGTGGCCTCCTTTTGTTTCCCCTGTCACCTCACCCAGGGCTGTGGTGGTGGTATCAGCAATGGGTTTAGTTGTATACTCAGTCCCTCACCTGTGGTCTGGGCTCCGTGGTTGATCCTGGCTGGAAGCTTGCTATGCCTTGGCAGCAGTGGGGGCTGGAGAGAGAGAATAGAGGGCATGCAGTTTGGTAAGAGTCAACAGAGATGTGTCCTGGTCCAGGTGGGGCTCAGTTAGAAGGAGCTTCCTAGTGGTCCCCCTGTTTGTCCAACTTTTTGGCTTTAGGCCGCCAAGGAGCACTGTCTGATTGGGCCTCAGACAGAAGGAGCAGCTCAGAGTTGCACATGGAGTTAGGAGGAAAGTTGGCAAGAAGGTATTTGATGAAGGGCTGCCTCTCTAGTGATGCCCTTGTCTGAGAGTGACATCTGGGCCTAGCCTCCCTCTGATCCCATTTAGGGTAAAGTCTCATCTCTTTGTGGAACAGGCCCTGGCTTGGCTCTCTGAAGGCCCCTGGGGCATTGTATACACTGGGTTGATAGGGATACTCCATCTTTTTGTCTGTGAGGTGCTGTAGTCACCACCTTTCCCAGAGGGGACAGCTGCCTCTAAGTGTCCTTTTTCTTGCTCTTCCTTCCTGGGGACCGAGTTGACATGTGGGAAATGGGAGGCCAGCTGAGTACCTGCAGTACGAAGGGAAGGGGCTCACCCAGGGCCACAAGCAAAGCTGAGACTCTGTTCCATGGGACTTCCTCATACAAGGCTCTCCCATGGGACTTCCTTATGCAGAGCCTTCCCATGGGACTTCCTCATGCAGGGCTCCCTCATCGTCATCCCCACTCACTTGCATGCTATGTGTGTCTGGGGCAAGGTGTCGAGGTGAGGCTTTCTGTCACAGGTTGGTAACAGGAGGGCAAAAATATTGGTCGGGGGGAGCTGGCCCTGGCCTTACCCTTCTTTCTTACATTCCAGGACTGGGGCAGTATCATACAAGGGCCTCCAGGGCCCCCAGGCTGGCACTATGCCTCTAACCTTGGAAACCCTCCCACGACCAAACTGGGGGAGACACAGGGCACAGCTGAGAAGGTTCGAGGTCTCCTCTCCAAGGGAAAGGAACTCCTCAGAAAGCTGGGCTCCAGAAAGGAGTGAAGCTGTCACCCATCCTTCAGGCAGAAGTAGCCCCTGGAGGCTCCAGGTCAACTGGATGGCTGGGCAGGGAAGTCCGACTGATCCGGAACTCCTGTTCTCTGAACAAACTCTGGCACTCAGAGGGATCCAAGGGACCTGGTGAGGGCGAGGCTACATGAGTGCTTAGGGAAGAGTCCTCTAGATGGGCCCATTCCTCTTCCAGAAGGGAACTGAGCCCCAAAGTAAGCAACCAAGTACCAAGCACTGGCAGACCAGAACTGGACCCATGCCCCTCAACTCCCAGTCTGCCTACTTTATCTATTCCTAGTTTCCTACCATGTGCTCTACTGATCCTTCCTTACTATCAGGACAGGAGACATGGGCTGCTCTTCTGATGGCTCTGGCTGACCTGCTCATGTCTTCCCTCCCCGGAGGAACGTTTGCACTGGAGTGTCCCCAGGGACAACGGCAGAGCCCTGTATATATGTACATATTCAGTGCCTCAGTCCAGCTCCTCCATCTCACTTCACCGCACAGGCCTGGGGAGGAGAAAGGCCATGCCAAAGCTGGCCTGACCCCACCCCACAGTGCTCCATCCCTCCCTGCCTGGGCCACCTGGCCTCTGTGTCATCCCATCCCCCAAACCCGGGGGAGGAGGGCAGGGGGCAGAAAGCAGGAGTTGGGTTTGCCTTATTTTGCTCATTGGATTCAACTTCTCTTTTGCATCACTTTCTTTGGGCCCCTGTGGGGGTCCAGGGAATGAGGGAAAAGGACAGATTTATGCAGCTATTTTCATACATTTCCCTGTTCAGAGTGCGTAGGGGGTTCTCCACCCGCACCCTAACCATTCTGCCCCTCTGGCTGGGTGAGTCTTTGCATGTTTCCTTTGCTGTGGTGGGAGATTGTTTGACTGTATCCCCACCTCTACCTTGGTTTCCAAGGGTGTGGAATGGTGGGGGCATTTGTTTAAAAAGACATTTTATTATAATAAAGTCTATTTTCACAAAATCTATGCTGGACTCTGCCTGGGCAAAGGACTTCTTGGAGGGGTGGGCCATGCTGATGGCTTTGGATTCATGACTTTAATACTCAGAAGTCATATACAAAGGGTAGCTGGGGCAAAAACTAATGAACACCAAGTGGCTCTTGAATTCCATTTCCTGAGGAGATTTGGCAGCTTCCCAATCCCCTTGGCTAGGTATGGGGCAGGAGGCTGGTGGAGGAGAGAAAACTTAGAAAGCGAACAGAGGAACTAGAAGAGAGAGGGTACCAGTTTCAAGATGGCAGGTTGGGCACATACTATGCCTTTCTCCCCCATACCAATTCCATAAAAATAATAGACATGAGAAAAATAAGAACCAATAAGCAGACACCTTACAGAGTGCTATTTGAAAGCAAGACATGGGCTTCTCAGTAGAACCACAGGGTTCTAAAAAGACAAAGCTGATGGGGATCACGTTCCAAAACCTCAGAGCTGGGGGTACGTGGGAGAGTTAGAGAGTTAGGCACACGGCTCCATTCATAGAGGTGGTGCAAATGAGGCTAATGCTACCCCAGGGATGACAGCAGCATGATGAGGCTGAGTTCCTAGCAGGGAGAGACCAAGGTGACTGCTGTCTGTGCATTCTCCTTCTCCATGGGCCAAGGAGCAGAGGCCAGGTTCTGTGTCTTTAGAAGAGAGCAGTGGGACTGAGATCTAGGACCAAAGACCTAGTAGTTCTTTAGGTGGCTAGCAACACTGGCAGAAACAAGAAGCATCACTTTCTAGACGAGGAGCCAATAAACTCCTCTCGCACTGTGCCCTCTTCCTGTGTGATGCATTCTTTCCCACCTTGCTGTCTGGCATGGACTCTTAACCATGAAGGACACGATTAAGATCCCACAAACTTTGGGGAATGTCAAGTCCACTAAAAGATAAAATAAATGGGAACGATATGCCAATAGACCATTAAGAGATGGCTCAGCAGGTATGGTACTTTCCACCAAGCCTGAAGACCTGAGTTCTGTCCCTGGCACCTACATGGTGGATGGAGAGAACTGAGTCCCTCAAGTAGTCCTCTGACCTCCACACACATGCCACAGCATAAGTGCCACTCTCATACATAAATGAATTAAAAATTTAAGATTTATTTATTTTTTGTTATTTTATGCATAGAATTTATGCATATGTGTGTGGCTGATTGTATGTATATGTATCACATGCGCATAGGAGCCCATGAAGGTCAGAAGAGTGCATGGGATCCTCTAGAACTAGAGTTACAGACAGTTATGAGCCACCATGTGGGTGTGGTAACCAAACCCAAGCCGTGTGCAAGAGCAGCAAGTGCTCCTAACTGCTGACCCATCTCGCCAGACTCCCCACCCCCAACCATCAACACACCCACTAAATTTTTAGAAAGCTTTGGGAGAAAATTTTTGAAAGATTACATTTATTATTGTTGGAGAGATAAGGGATTGTGTGTAAGAAGCAAGAACCAATAGTTATTAAAAAAAAGATCCTATTGGAGATTTTAAAAAATTAAAAATATAGTTTTGTTAAAAAAGAACTCAATACAAGGGCGAAAATGCCTAATCCATAGAAAGGGAAAATGAGCAAGCTTCAAGTTTGAAGTAGACATTTCTCTGAGTTTTGTAAAAAGGGCTAAAGAGATTGACAAGATGAAAGGAAAAATATCATACATAAAAAATTTCAGTATTTACCAGGCTTGGTGGCACAGGTCTATAATCTCAGCATTCAGGAGAATGGGGCGTGAGGCAGGAGGACTGCAAATTCGTGGCCAGCCTAGGCTGTACAGCAAGACTGTATCTAGAAAGGGAAGAAAGTCAAATACCTGTTTATAATAATTTGTATCCATTCAGTGCACACCTTTAATCCCAGTACTTGGGAGGCAGAGGCAGGAGAATCTGTGAGATTGAGGTCAACTTAGTCTACATAGCAAGTTCCAGGCCAGCTGGGGCTACAGGGAGACCTTGTCTTAAAAATTAAAAAAAATTTTTTTAATGAAAAAAAAAAAGATTTTGGCTTTTTTTTTTCTATAGATGCATTTTATTGGGTAAAGGAAGTTTCTCTTCATCTCATTTGAAATATATATGAGGGCCAGAGATGCAGATCAGCAGTAAGGCATGTGCTTAGCATGCTCAAGGCCTGGGCTTACCCCTCAGTACCAGAATAAAATACCAAAGAAATTTAAAAAATACTTATAATCTTATATATTCATTTTAAGCACTTCTTTTAGGATTATATCATACATGTTTAACTCACATTCCTTAAATCAGTTTTTAACATTTTAAGTTGGTGTGCTGGATAGCTTTAGTGTCAACTTGACAAACCTGGGTTGAGGGAGCCTTAATTAGGGAATTGCCTCCATTGAACTGGCCTGTGGCCATGTCCATGGGGCACCTTCTCGATTGTTGAGTGATGTGGGAGGGCCCAGCCCACTGTGGGTGGTGCCACCCCTGGGCAGGTGGGCCTGTGTGCCTAAGAAAGCAGGCTGAGCAGGAGGGGCCAGGGGAGCAAGTCAGTAAGCAGTGTTCCTCCGTGGCCTGTGCTGCAGCTCCTGCCTCCAGGTTCCTGACCTGAACTCCTACCTGATGAACTGTGACCGGGAGATGTAATATAAAATAAACCCTTTCTTCCTCAAGTTGGTACTGGTCAGAGTGTTTTGTCACAGCAATGGAGAGACAAACTAAGATAGCTGGATTTAGACATTTTTCTAACATATATTTTTCCCAGTCCTTCACCCCAGTTGACTAACCAGTTACATTCAAATACTTTGGAAAATTACATCAGATAATATTATAATTTTTATTTTCAATCAACATACAAATTTTAAAGAATGCAAAGGAGAGGCACAACCTGCCATATATGCAGATGCAAAGTCATCTCTGCCTCTCTTCCTTCTCTCTTGATAGCCCGAGTTTTCTTTTTCTGTCATTTTGAAGCTGGATTGCAATGAATTCCTTTAGCTTTTCTTTATCTGGGAATAGCTTTATTTCACCTTTATCCTGGAAGACTTTTTTTTTTTACTAGGTAGAGAATTTAAAAATACCACAATGCTTCCACCTGTTGCACAGTTTTTGAAGACAAGGCCAGAGGCCCCCTGGAGGCCTGCACATCCTTCCTCTAGGAATGTATCATTTTTTTTTGTTGCTTCTAAGGTTTTTTTCTTTGTCTTTAGTTCTCAGCAGTGTGGTTATGTGATGAACATGTTTATTTCTTTTTTGCTTGTTTGTTTTTTGAGACAGAGTCTCAGGTAGCTCAGGCTGGCCTGGAACTCATGTATATATACTGTTGTCTCTACCTCTCAGGTGCTGGGATTACAGGCATGCAACAGTGTAATACCACACTCAAGTTTTATTTTTTGAGTCAGGGTCTCATGTAGTTCAAGTTAGCTTCGAACTCAATATATAACTGAGGATGACCTTGAACTTCTGATCCTCCTGCCTTTATGTAGTGCTGGGGATTGAACTTGGGGCTTTGTGTGTGCTACAAATACACTCTATGAACTGAACTACATATCCTTCCCTTTTATGAGACAGGGTCTCAAGATATAGTCCAGGCTGGCCTTGAATTCCTAATCCTCTTGCATCATTGTCTAGGGTTCTGAGATTAGAGGCATCAGCTACTACACCAAGCTGGTATTGTTATTTTAAATTTCAATTTGAGTGTTTGTGCTGGTGTGCTGGTTTGTGGTTTTGCCTTATGCATTGTGATCTTGCTAAATTCCTTTACTAATTCTAATAGCTTATTTTTGTAGATTTCTTGGCATTTTCTATGTATATAGTCATATTGTACGTAAGCAAAGACAGTTTTACTTCTTTTTTAAAATTTTTTTTATTTATTATTTTTATTTTATGTGTATGCGTGTATTGCCTGCATGTAGGTAAATGCACCAGTGTCGTGCAATGCCTGCAGAGGACAGAAGAGGCTGTCGGATCCCAGATCCCCTGGAACTGGAGTTAGGACCGTTGTTAGCGAATCTGGGTGCTTTGCAAGAGAAGTCAGTACTCTTAACCCCTGAGCCATCTCTCCAGCCCATCTCTCCAGCCCCTACTTCTTCTTTTCAAATTGTGATGCTGTAGTTTCTTTTTCTTGTCTTATTGTACCACATGCACAGTACTGAACAGAAAGGACAAGAGCATTCACCCTTGTCTTGTTTCTCATCTTAGGGAGAAAGCATTCAGCTTTCTACCAGTAAATAGTATGCACCCATACATGTACCTATAATACATACACATGTATGCATACGTATGTGTGGATTTGTGGATGCCTTTCATTGTGTTTAAAGAAGTTCCCTCTATTTTTAGTTTGCAGAGAGTTTGTGGGGTGGGGGGGGGTGCATGCGGGAGATACATGTACGTGGAGGTCAGAGGACAGCTTCAGGTATTGTTTCTCACCTTCCACCTCGTTGGAGACAAATATCTTTTCTGTTCTCTGTTGCATAAGCAGGCTAGCTGGCCCATGAACTTCCAGAGATTCTCCTGTCTCTGCCACATTATGGTTCTACCTTAGTAAAGAAACAGCTTGACTGAGCATTGATGAGGCCAAGAGTGGATCTGAGCTGCAGGAATGTGTTTCTTCAGATGTCCCTCGGAGCTCTGCTTCCCAGCAAGGGCTTTGTTCTTTTTTTTGGTTTTTGTTTTTGTTTCTGTCTTTTGCATGTCCATTTTACTAATTTTTTTTTAATTATTTTTTATTTTATTGGTCTTTTTTGAGACAGGGTCTCCCAGTAGCCCCAGCTAGCCTAGAATTCACTACGTAGACCAGGCTGGCCTTGAACTCATAGAGATCCTCCTGCCTCTGCCTCCCGAGTGCTGGGATCAAAGGCGAGTGCCACCACTCTCGGCTATTATTTTTATTTTATGTGTAGGTACGTATTGCCTGCATGTAGGTAAGTGCACTCATGTCGTGCAATGCTGATGGGGGACAGAAGAGGCTGTCAGATCCCCTGGGACTGGAGTTACGGACAGTTGTTAGTTGCCATGTGTGTGCTGGGAT